TTTTGTATATGGAGTGAGGTGTGGATCTTACTTGAGTCTTTTGCAGATACTTTTCCAATTTTGCCTGCACCATTTGTTAAAAAGGCTGTTGTTTCCCCATTTAAGTGATTTCATCTCCTTGTCAAAAATCAGTTGCCCGTATATAGATAGGCTGATCTCCGGGATCTCAATTCTATTCCATTGATCTATGTGTCTGTCATTGTACCAGTACCATGCTATCTTAACCATCATGGCAGAGTAGTAGGATTTGAAATCAGGGAATGAGATGCCTCCTACCTTTCCTCTATGTTTAAGGAGTGCTTTGCTTATTCGGGTCTTCTTTCCATTCCAAATGAAACTGGAGATTGCCTTTTCCATCTTGTTGAAGAATGAGATTGATATTTGTATTGGGATTGCATTAAACGTGTAAATTGCCTTTGGCAGTATTGCTATTTTCACAATAATTGAGGCTTCCTATCCGTGAGCAAGGGATATTCTTCCACTTTTCCAGGTTTCTTTTTGTTTCTTGTACTAATGTTTTGTAATTTTCTTTGAATAGATCCTTTGTGCTTATGGTTAGGTTTACTCCCAAGTATTTATTCTTGTGATTAGCTATTGTGAATGGTATTGTTTTTCTTAGTTCCAACTCTATTCTCTTTGTAACTATAGAGAAATCCAACTGATTTTTGTATGTTGATCTTGTATCCTGCTACTTTGCTGAATTGGTCCACTGTGTCCAATAGTTTTCTTTCTGAGTCTTTAGGGTTTTCTAAGTATACTATCATATCATCTGCATAGAGAGATAATTTTACATCCTCTTTACCAATTTGAATACCTTTTATTCCCTTCTCTTGTCTTATTGCTATCGCTAAGACTCCCAATACAATATTAAATGAGAGAGGTAATAGTGGGCATCCTTGTCTGCTTCCTCTTCTTAAAGGGAATGCCTTTAACCTCTCTCCATTGAGAGGCATACTGTTTTAAGATCTTATTTATCTACTTTTAGGACTGGAAATAGACTTAAAGTGAAAGTTACTAGGCTGAATTAAAACTGTTGTCTGTCCACTACATGTTACTAGATATCGTGTTCCTTAAATTCACAGTGACATGAGTCTAAGACCATGTTCAGCTCCTTAGAAACAATAGTGTTACCTCTTGAGATAACTTACATGGTTTTGTGTTTTTAACTTGCCATTAGTGTTCAACATAATTTTTGTTTTCTCCCTATAGAAAAAAGTTTTGGTATGACAGTCCTGTCTTGGGGTCTCACCTGGTAAGTATATAACAGCAATAATCCCCTTATTTCCCTGAATGCAGTTAAGTTTTAAAGATTGGCAAGACTCTTTCCATTTCGATGTTTAAAAGAGGAACATATGTCTGTGGATGGACTAGTTGCCATTGGTAACACGTAAGTTTGATTTAAAGGGGAAAAAAACAACTCACAAAAATTTCCACTAAAATTTTCTTATTTAGAAAGATTTTATTGCCTAGTATATATCATGTATCCAATCATGAATTTTTATATAATTATTGTGAAATAGGATGATCAGTGTCAGAATTTTGATCATTTGCTTCTTGTTTCCATAATGAGTTCATTTTTCTTTGTCAAGATGTTGCATGACACACCTGAGGTAATGAATGCGTTCTGTTAAGGACTTGAATATTTATTCATCCAGATCTAAGGATGAAACTTTTGGTTCCTTATAATAACAGCAGTTGTAGTCCTATTGTTTTCTGTACCATCATCCTTTAAAGAATTCTTGAAAATCATTCATCATCATGGTTTACATGCCTTCAGTACTCGGGCTTAGTTGCATCATTTATGGTCTGCATTCATTCAAAAGCAAACACAGTCGAAAATGGATTTAACAGATACAATCTAGTCCTCGACCCTTTAGAGCGCGTTCCCTTATTCAGGACAAAGAAACCATTTAAGGAAGGTTGAAAACTTCATGGAAAGGTTTAAGAGGCTCACGGAGAATGAAGCAAAGAAGCTCACTTGCATCCAAGGAGCTCACACATTCCAAGATGAGGGGCCTGGTTTCAAAACCCATAAGGTTGAGGGGAGCTCTGGTGGCCTAGTGGCAAGGAGCTGCAACTACAATCCCAGAGGCTCACGGTTCGAATCCACCAGATGCTCTGCCAGGAAAGGAGGGACAATCTCCTGTACCAGTCAGATCAGAGTTGACGGTACAGTCACACAAAAATAAAAAAAAAAACCCCATAAGGTTGAGAGTTCCACAGAGGGAAGAGGAAGAACTTGCAGGGAGTCCCACCTTGACAGGCAGGCTGCTCTGCCCCATGCACACACTATGCACTGTGTGCTACGCAACAATGTTAAAATTTTCTAAGATATTATGGTAATATCAAAATCTAATAGACTTATGCATTCAGTTTTCAGTTCACATACATACGTGGCTACTGTGAAATTTTATACAATAAATTACCTGTATGAGATTTTCCCCAGTTATTAAAAACCACTTTAATTGGATGGATTTTTGCTGTGTTAATTTTTTCTCAATATAAAGAAGTTTGTTTTTGTTTGTTTAGTTTTTTTTTTATTTGTGCATGTACCATCAAAATCAGATCTGACAGGTACAGGAAGAGATTGCCTCTTTTCCCAGCAGAACATCTGGTGGATTTGAACCATGTACTTCTGGTATTGCAGTGCACCTTCTTGCCACTAGACCACCAGAGCTCGCTAATATAAAAAAGTTTTAAAAGACTAGTGACATTACTTATATATTTGGAAGGATGCTTGGTGAGATCCAGAATGGTCTTTGTCCATAAAAAAAGGCCTTTTCTTAATGAAAGCCAAGGTGCTAGAGAGTAATTTTTATTTTATTTGTTCAGCTGTCAAGTCCTTTTTAGACCTTGTTTTTGAGGGTTTTTTTTGTTTGGTTTGCTGATGGTTTTTTTTTTTTTTGGAGTAAATTACAGAGATTTAATGTAAAGTTGTCATGCTACCTTTGTATATTTTTATGTCCTGGAGAGGGTGAAGCCAGGTTGCTCCTTGGAATCAAAGATTCTGAAGCTTCGTCTGACATACTTTGGGTATGTTGCAAGGAGGGACTGCTTCTTGGAGAGGAACAGCTCAGGAGAGGAAGACCTTTGATGAGATGGATTGATACAGTGATTGGGGTTGTGGGAGTGTGTCGGAGACAGTGAGGTTGGCACAGGATAGAGCAGCATTTAGGGCTCTTGTACATAGGGTCACTATGAGTTGCAAGCAACTCTACTGCACATAACAACGACAACAACAATGCTAGGTTTTAGTTCTTTTGTTGTTGAGAACATACACAACTCTGCATACGGTTTTTCCATGTACAATCTAGTGATGTTGATCGCATTCTTCACATTGTACAGCCATCCTTTCCTTCCTTTTCTGACTGCCTCCTCCATTATTACCATAAACTCTGCCCCTTCAGATGCTGTGGTCACTTTGATCCCATATAGACAGTTCTTAAGTGCATTATGCTCAAGGCAGAACATTTTTACTAGTTAAGCTGAAGTATTCTGTTTAGAATTACTTTGGGGGATATTTTTGGTTTAAGATTTAAAGATTACTTTGAGCAGTAGTTTCAGGGATCCATCCCTTGGTTCCAATAAGTCTAGCATCCATGGTTATTTTAAATTCTGTTCTACATTTCCCCCCTTTTGAACAAGATTCTTCTATGCAGTCTTTGATCAGAATAGTAATTGTAGCAAGGTTCCATCCAGTTCTGGTCTCATCTCAAAGGAGGCAGTTCTAAATGGAGTGCTAGAACAGAGGCAGTAAAAACATTGTCTTTCTTCATGAAGACTTACAGACCATCCAAGTTGGAGTCCCTGGTGAAGACTACTTCCAAGAAAAACAGGAAGGAAGACCATGTGCGCCTGAGAGCCCTGAATGGCCTTCTGTACAAAGCATTGACAGATTTATTATGTACATCTGATGTGAGCCAGGAGGTCTATGACCTGAACGTGGAGCTGTCCAAGGTAGGTTGGGAGCTGAGCTCTGCTTCAGTCCTGAAAGCACAGCATTTTTGAGGCCTTTAGTGTCAGGTGCAGCAATGATTCAGGTACTCATGTGGGTGGAGTACACACAGACCAGACACTCGTGAGTGTGAGGACATGAGATGTCAAAGGATGGTTTGCGAGGTAGTTATGTTTCCCTGTACCTCAGTGGCATATAAAGACCAGTGATAGATCAGGCATCTCAGAGTGATGCCTCTGAACAAAGGCATTGGGATTTAGAGCTGGGCTTACCAGGTGGCTAAGTGTCCATGGCAACAACAGAAGGTGATGGTCTGCCCTAAGCTGAGTGGCTGTTCTCTGCCTCCTGGTGACTGTGTATCAGGACAGCCTGTGTGGCCACGATATTCACTGCTGCTGGGGTGGGAGGGACTCAGGTGTCTCTTACATCAGATTTCTCTGCCTGCCGTGTGTACTGGAGGACATCTCTGTCTGTGGAGCAGCACGAGCATGCCCAAGCTATCCTGCAGAAGAGCGCCACCCACCTAAGGTAAAGGCCTTTGGCTTCCAGAGTGCATGATAATGGCCCCTGGGTTTCCCAGATGTGTTCACTTGTAGGTGCACATCCTTAATTTCTCATTGTGTTTGCTTTAAAGAAAATTCTGGAAGCTTTTTCTGGAATTTCCATTTTCCTATTCACCATCAGCTGTTTCAGTGGCTCCCAGGGGGACGGTTGTGGGACCCTTGGCTCCCCAAGATGCATTTGAAGGGTTCGTGTGATCAGAACCATGTGTTTCCCTGTGCTGAGTGGTTTGCGGTTGGCTGATTAGTCTTCTGGGTAGACTGTCATCCTGGGTTGGGTGTCTCCCAGCTTGAATTCTTAGTGCACCTCTGGTGTATTTAGTTCCAGCTTGCTCCCTCCCTGCACCAGGGCCATGCAGCCTCTGAGTAAGGGCTTCTCTTCTAGGCATCTGCTCATCTCCCAGCAAATACTGCGCAATGTTCCACCCATCATCTTTGTTCAGGACAGAGGGAGCACTGCTCTTGCTGAGGTGAGCCTTCCTGACACACTCCTCTTCTCCTCGGTCACATCTCAGTTTCACTTCTAAACACTCAAAATATAATGCCCCAGATATAAAGAAGCAATGGAGAAGGGACATTTGGAAAATGCTCCCTGACTTGATCAGACTTGGCCTCCAGAGGAAACCACCATCATGTGTCTCACTGCACCTGACTGGTAAACACACATTAGGTGTTGAATTTGACTTGCATTTCACCACATCTCTGATGGGTAAATACAGTCTCCATTTCTTGGCTAAGAAGTCTGAGGTCTCCAGGGTCCATCCTTCTATCTCTTCCCTCAAAGCCTGGTCATGGTTCTTAGTGGTATACTGTCCATTTTCACAGTTGTGACTTGTAAGATCTTTGATTCTGCAGTTAAAATTGTTTTTGTGGTTAGTTATTGTTGCTTTTGAGTTGGAACCAACTCATAGCTGATCCTCCCGTGAGTTTTCACAAGCTGTAAATCACATGGAAGGAGATTGCCCATCTTTCTCCCACAGAGCATCTGGTGGATTTGAACCACATGCGTCTGGTTTGGTCATGCAACTCCTTACTGCTAGACCACCAGAGTTGTAGATTAATTGTAAAAATGAAAATTCATGAACAACAAAGTATATGAACTTTGTAAGTAAACCAGTATAAAATAAAAATTTTATGAAAAAGAAAACTCACTAAACATGTACTAGGTTTTGTTTTATTTAAATAAAATTTTATACTCGTTTACTTACAAAGTTCATATACATTACTTTTCATACTGGATTTTCCCATTTCCTTTACCCACCCTTCCCTCTACCTATCAAATTGTGTGAGCTTGGTGAAGTTAGATCCTAGTGGGTGAGTGTTTCTGATTTACTTGAAAGCTGGGGGTAAGCTGTTTGGGCATTTCTAACTGTGATAGCAATCGAGTGTATGATGATTAACTGTATCTGATCTCATCTACAATCAGCTTAGGTGGAAAGCCTCTTGTGTAGGCAAACAGGATCTGGTGGGCGGGCCTTGTATTTATTTAAAAGCTGGTTGGACCCTCGGGCCTGCATGTTTGGGGAGAACGTTGTTCTAAGTGGTGCAGCACTTGTCTGTCAGTTTGCTGCGATTACTTGGGGTTGCTGTGATATTGAAATCTTTGCCACTGGTTTGTCAGATTCTAAAAGGGTATCCCATTGTGATGGGTTTTGGTGGAGCTCCCTGATTAAGACAGACTATGAAGCAGGATTGGCCATGTACTCTCTAAATAAAAGGCTTTTGAAAGGGGAGCTCTGGTGGCCTAGTGGCAAGAAGCTGCACTGCAATCCCAGAGGAACACGGTTCAAATCCACCAGACGCTCTGCCGGAGAAGGAGACGCAATATCCTCCTGTACCAGTCAGATCTGATTTGACGGTACACGCACACAAAATTTAAAAAAAAAAGGCTTTTGAAAACCCTATGAACACTAAGCCAAGAGGATAGTTATGGTAGTATAGTGGTAGAGCCCAGATTGGAAGTCAGTTGATATGAGGAAAATCAGTAACAAACATTGTTTAACAATTGGTACATGGAATGATTACCGCTTGAATGTAATTATAGCTTGAATGTTGTAAAACTGGAAAGTGTTGAAAATGAAGTGGAATGCATGAATATTGACATACTAGGCATTAGTGAATTGTGACGGACCAACTTTGGCCACTTTGAATCAGATAATCATATGATACACTTTGCGGGGATGAAAAACAAAGGAAGAATGGTGTGGCATTCATACTAAAAAAGACAATTTCAATTTTATCCTGAAATACAATGTTGTGAGTATAGGATAATATCCATATGCGTACAAGGAAGACCTATTAACACAGCTGTTATCCAAGTATATGCTCCTACATCTAGTGCCAAAAAAGGAAGAAATTGAGAAATTTTATCAAATTTTTCAGTCTGACATTGACCGAACATGGATTCAGGAAACATTAATGATAATTGGTGGCTGGAATGCAAAAGTAGGAAACAGTGAAGAAGGAACAGTAGTTGGAAAATATGGGCTTGGTGATAGAAATGAAGCTGGAAATAGAATGACTGAATTTTGTATTTACAAGACACAAAAGATGACTTTACAGGTAGATTTCACCTGATGGGCTGCATAGAAATCAGATTGACTATATTTGGGAAAGAAATCATTGGAGAAACTCAATATCAGCAGTCACAACTAGACCAGGGGCAGACTGTGGGTCAGATCATCAATTACTCATATGCAAGTTCAAATGGAGGCCAAAGAAAATGAAAATAAGTCCACAGGAACCAAGATATGATCTTGAATCAATTCCATCAGAATTTCATGATATCTTAAGAATGGGTTTTAGTCTGGTGGCCTACCGGCAAGACGCTGCACTGCAATCCCAGAAGTACGCGGTTCAAATCCACCAGATGCTCTGCTGAAGAAGGAGGGGACAATCTCCTCCTGTACCAGTCAGATCTGATTTGATAGTACATGTAAAAATAATACCAAAAAAGAAAAAAATGGGTTTGAGGCATTGAACATCAATGATAGAAGAACAGATGAGTTGTGAGATGATACCAAGGATATCATCCATGAAGAAAGCAAAAGGTCATTACAAAAAAAGAGGAGAAAGAAAAAATTGAAAATGGATGTAGAAGAGATTTCTAAAGATTTCACTGGAACATTGAGAAGCCAAATCTAAAGAAAAACATGTCAAAGTGAAAGACCTGAAGAGATGATTTCAAAGGGCAGCTAAGGAGGACAAAGGAAAGTATGATAATGGATTGTGCAGAGAGCTGAAATTAGAGAATAAAAAGGAAGAACTCGGTCTTCATTTTTCAAGCTGAGAACAGAAAAGCAAATTTAAGCCTTATGTCACAATGTTGGAAGATAGTATGGGCAGTATATTGAATGACCCAGAAAGCATCAAAAGAAAATGGGAATATAAAGAGTACCAGAGGCACGTTCTTTCCGCCTCAGTCTGGTATCCTTTGCTGCTTTACCCACTGGGCGGTGGCGGAACCAATGGGGCAACGCCAGGTGCAGGCAGTGTTTTTTGATCTGGACAACACGCTTGTTGACACGGCCGGGGCGAGCAGGAGAGGCATGGTGGAGCAAGTATTTCCAAGACGTCACTTGTGCAAGCAAGGTTGTGTCATCTGCATAACATAGGTTGTTGAAGAGTCTTCCTCTGGTCCTGGAGGAAGAATGTGATAAAGCTCTTAAAATCAAAATATGATTACAAAGAAGCAGCCGAGATCATCTGTGACAAAGTTCAAGTTAAACTCAGCAAGGAAGGTTTTTATCCTTTCAATACATGCATTACTGATCTAAGAACTTCATACTGGGAAGAAGCAATCCAAGAAACAAAAGGTGGTGCAGCCAATAGGAAATTGGCTGAAGAATGCTATTTCCTATGGAAATCTACCCGTTTACAGCATTTGACCTTGGAAGAAGATGTCAGAAACTATGCTTACTGAACTTCGGAAGGAGGTCCGCCTGCTTCTACTAACCAGCGGAGACAGGCAGACCCAGAGGGAAAAGATTGAGGCTTGTGCCTGTGAGTCCTATTTTGATGCTGTTGTTGTAGGTGGAGAACAAAAAGAGGAGAAACCATCCTCTTCCATATTTTATTATTGCTGTCATCTCCTTGGAGTACAACCTGAAGACTGTGTGATGGTTGGTGACACGCTAGAAACCGATATACAAGGCGGCCTCAACACAGGACTGAAAGCAACAGTTTGGATAAATAAAAACGGAACAGTGCCACAAAAGTCATCCCCTGTGCCCCATTATATAGTTTCTTCTGTGTTAGACTTGCCTGCTGTCTTACAAAGTATAGACTGTAAAGTCACTTTATCAGTTTAAAGAGCGTTTGAGTCAAATTATAGAGGTTGAAATAAGAGGAATTAAGATATTCCATGTTCTGTGGACCAATTCTACAAATAATTTTGCTTTTCTAAAATTGTGATTCCATAACTGTTGTGAGAATCCTCTCAATCCAATTGCTTTTTAAGTTTTGATAATCAGTAATTGATTAGTTTTTATTTCTGGAAGTCCAGATTACGTTAATGTTACTTTTATTAGTACAAGTCCAGAAAATTAAAAAAAAAATTATATATATTTGTTGTTCTTGTTGTTAGTTAGTTAGTGATGAGATTTTTAAAAATCTTTTACTCATCTTTTAGCTTTTGGTCTCCATAAAAGATACCAGGTAAGAGAGCTTATACAAAGATGGGCAAATATCGATGTTGTTTTATTTTCAAACACCCTAGGTGCCATTGAGTTGTCTCAGGGTCATAATAACTTTAAGTGTAACAGAGTGAAATGTAACTTTGTCTTGTACCATCCTTAGTCATTGCTATGTTTAAACACAGTGCTAAGGTCGGAGCGCTTTTGTCCATATATCTCTTGGAGTCTCCGTCTTTTTTCCATTGACCCTCTACTTTTCCAAGCAGAGTGCCCTCCAGTGATGACATGTCCAGCCTATGTGAGATAAAGTCTCACTATCCTCACTTCTGAGGAATATTCTGCCTGTGCTTCCAGTAAGATATTTGTTCTTCTCATAGTCCATCGTATATTCTGTATTCTTCACCACCACTGCAATTGGAATGAATCATTTCTTTAAATAAATTTCCATTTACACTCTCCAGATTTCACATGCCTATAAGGCACTTGAACAAGACCATAACTTGAATCTGGTTATACACCTCAATTATCAAAGTAACATCCTTGCTTTCTAATTTTAAAGAGCACTTTTGCTGAAGGTTACCTAAAATAATACATCACTGATTTCTGGACTCTGGCTTCTGTGCATGTTAGTTATTGACAAAAGTAGAATAAAATCCTTGACAGCTTCAAAAAAAAAAAAGAGTACCAGAAAGAATTAATTGACACTGAAAAATTTCAGTAAGTACCATATGAGCAGGAGCCAATGTTAATGGAGGAAGTAGAAGCTGCATTGAAGTCATTGGCAAAAAATAAGGCCCCAGGAACTGATGGGATACCAATTGACATGTTTCATTTAACAGATGCAGCCTTAGATGCACTCAATGGTCTATGCCAGGAAATTTGGAGGACGGCTGTCTGGCCAATGGATTGGAAGAAGTCCATATTTGTTCCTATTCCCAAGAAGGGTGATTCAAGTGAATGTGGAAATTATCAGCTATATCATTGATATCACATGCAAGCAAAAAACTGCTGAAGATCATTAATAAACAGCTGAAACAGTACATAGATAGGAATTGCCGGAAGTATAAGTGGGATTTAGAAGAGGCTGTGGTACCAAGGATATCATTGCTGATGTCAGACATATCCTGCATGAAAGTAAGGAATACCAGGACAATGGCTATTTGTATTTTATTGACTATGCAAAGGTGTTTGACTATGTCGATCATGACCGGTTTGTATCTGACATTGAGAAGAATGGGAATCCCAGAGCACTTGATTGTGCTCTTGATGAACCTGTACTTGGATCAGGAGGCTGTTGTGTGAAATGGCTGTTGTGTGAATGGAGCAGGGGAGCACTACATAGCTTGGAATTGGGAAGGGAGTGCGTCAGGGTTCATATTCTCTCTTCGTACCTATTCAATCTGTAGTATTATTATTCAGTCTGATAATTTGCTGAGCAAATTATCCAAAAAGCTGGACTCTATGAAGAGGAATGTGGCATCAGGATTGGAAGGATACTTATCAATAACCTGCATTATGCAGATGCCACAACTTTGCTTACTGAAAGTGAGGAGGACTTGAAGCACTTGTTGCAGAACATCAAGGAATACAGCCTTCAGTATGGATTGCATCTCAAGATCAAACAAAGATTCTTACCACTGGAACAATAGGCAATGTCGTGATGGATGGAGAGGAGATTGAAACTCACCAGCCTCATCTTGCTTGGATCCATGTTAAGACCCTTGGTACGAGCAGTCAGAAAATAAAGAGATGCACTGCAGTGGGAAAATCTGTAGTTAGGGACCTTTCCAAATTATTGAGTAGTGATGTCAGTTTGAAGACTAAGGTGTGTCTGACTTAGGCCATAGTCATTCTGATCATTAACTATGCATCCAAGACCTGGACAGTGAATAAGGATGACAGAAGAATTGACCCCTTTGAGCTGTGATGTTGGAGAAGAGCACTGACCATTCAGTGGACAGCAAAGAAAATGAACAGATACATCTTGGAGAGGGTGCAACCAGTGTGCTCTTTGGAGGCAAGAGTAATGAGGCTTCGCCTAACATGCTTAGGACATATTGCTAGGAGATGGTATTCTTTGGAGAAGGACATGATGTTGGGAAGGATGGAGGGTCAGCGAAGGAGAGGAAGACCCTTAATCTGGTGAATTGACCCAGTGACTGCTGCAGTGGGCTCTTGTGTGTCAGGAAGCGTGAGGATGGTGCATGATATAGAGCAGGGTTCAGATCTTTTGTTCATAGGGTTGTTATGAGTCGTACTCGACAGCGCCTCATGACAACGACTACACACACACACACACACACACACACACACACGTATGCATTTATATGGGTTTTTTTAATGCAGATTTTTTGCCCCACATTTTCCTTAATTGACATTATATTTTACACAATCATTTCAATACACTGTTTTATAAAATTAAACACCATTAGACTATTCTCACCATTACCCTGTCTTTTCAAGTCCTTGTCAGATCTTTCCCATTTACCTCCTCCCTCCACCCTTCAAATTGTGTGGTCCTATGATTTCCTCCCTATCCATCCTTACCCCTTTGCTCCCATTCCTTCCCCCCTTTGGCCCCCTTACACAGTTACTACTATTTTTACAATAATGGTCTTATCCAGTATTTGTCTTTATGAGATTGAGTTAGTTCACTCAGTATAATGTTCTCCAGTCTCTCGCAAGTTATATAGTATTTTTCAAAGTCATTGCTCCTGTGTGCTGCACAGTATTCCATCGTGTGAATGTACCACAGTTTCTCAATCTGTTTGGTTGTGGTTGTTTCCATGTTCTTGCGATAGTGAATAATGCTCACCGCAGCATCTTTTAGCCTCGTTCAAGACTGGACACAGCAGTGATGTACATGTTTATGTTCCTTTTTAGATTGATCAGTTACTGGCAGTTGCTGATTTTGGGCCCCCTGATGGGAAAGAAGAAGCCATAGAGAGTGATGTCAGGTGACTTGCTGTTTGCATCACATCTATGTCAATGTGTTTGCTGGTTTTATTTACATGTTTAAAGATGTAGCCCAAGAGAACCATATAAGAGAGGCAAGCTAGTACATAGTTACATTTTAATCTACAACATACATTAACATCTTTATTATTTTTAGAAAATTATGTGTGCTTGCTGAAAAATTATAAGATCTAAAGATGCAGACCTATCTGCAAATGTGATATTTTCTTACATTCCAGTGAATTTCTTTTGGTCTTTAGTTGCTTTGGGGTTTTTTGGAGGGGGAGAATTTATTTCCTTATTTACACAACAAAATGATAACCCTGTTTCTTTATCCTTACATATTCCTTATAAACTTCACTTTGCTGCTTGTACTCTCTGATCAATTCTTGCAGTGGGATGTTTAGTTCATACTAGGGTTCCTGAGATGTTTGTACCTTGTGTTAGACATCACATTGAAGAGCACAGTCCCAGGTCAGAGCTAGGGAGAATAGAAGCATTCAAGCCATTGTTCCCTGGTTGGTGCCCAAGGCACCAGATAAATAATGCTGGCTACAGCATCCTGTCTCAGCCACATTGGTGAAGTGTGCCACTGCACTCAGCACCAGTTTGCAGTCCTGTAGAAGTCAAGGCCATGCGGGTCAAGGGCCTGGCTTTTGTTTTGCCTGTTGTGTGATGGCTCTTCTCTCCTCATAGGGATTCTTCCGACCAGCAACCCCTGTTTGGTGCTACCCAGCCAGCCGAGCACCCTCGTCTGTGTGAGATTGATCATGAGGCGCTCCACAAGCAGATCATGGAATACAAACAAAAGAGGGAGAGGGGACTTGCTGATATGAGCCAGGGGCTGCATGATGATTCCCGAGAGCAGCTGGCTGAACTGGCAAGGCAGATGAAGAGGAGGAAGAAGAAGACAAAGGTCCCTGATGATGCTGCATCTCCGAAGAGCTTCCTATTGGGCATGGAGAGCGAGGACAGAATGGACAATGAAGATCTCCAGTGGCCCCACGATGGCCCAGAGCAGACAATACAGAATGGAGAGCGCTGGCGTTAAGCATTGCTTAGGGCAGTGAGTCTGCCATCCTGATGTGGCCAGCAGCACCAGTCCGTGTGCATGTGGTACCTCTGCCACATTGGGGCTGACTTGACATGCAGACACCCTTTCCAGTGTGTGAACACCCTTCTCCAGGGACAGGAGATAATTTGCTCAGCTACACAAAGACTGAGGGGGAGATTGCCTCCCGTGCAATTAGCTGCCTCTGAAAACCCTGCTGGAGGGTCAGCTATGGGTCATTCCTGACTCACCGGTACACAGCAGCAACAACAACATTGTGTTTAAAAATGCAGAAGCATACAAAATAAAAGAGTCATCAGCAGAAAAGCTAGGTGCCATCAAAGGTCTGGACAAATAAAGGAGAACGTAGACTCAGATTTAACATACAACTTCAGAATGGCGTTAAATTTAACTCAGTATTGTTGTGTGCCCTCAAGAGGGAACCAACTCAAGAGCTGATTCTCCAGTGGGTTTTCAGAGGCTATACATCACATGGGAGGAAGATTGCCCATCTTCCTCCCACAAGAACTCAATATTATGTGAAAAATTCACTGGCAGGTTACTGCACTGAAACTCTGACTAAAGGGTTAAAACTTGTACTTAATACTGTCCAAATGTTTCAAACTGCTTGGATTTTTAAGACTCACCTGAGACTCCTGTTAACAATAGATTCCCAGGTGACTCCTGTGTAGATCTTGGTTCTGTAAATCTAGGACAGGGCCCAGATTCAGTCCAAGAGAAAATCATGGACTCTAGATGGATGGAGGACATAATTTTGGTGGGCCAGGCATCTGATTCTGGAGAGCTTCCCCAAAGGTTGGGAGGAACTCTTTACCAGTCAATTAACAGTAAATACAATTTAACAAACCAATGTCATTAGTTTTCTCCAAAAACCAGATTTCTTTCTACTCCTCTTGTGAGTGGAAGACACAACCCAGCAAATGATATTTCAAATCTGTTCTGTCATCCTTACTCATAGTCCAACTTTCAGTTGTGTAGCGAGTATTGAAAAGACTATGCCTTGAATCTTTTTTTTCCCTTGTGCCTTGAATCTTATGTACCTTAGTGTTTAAATTGACATCATTACTCCTTAGCACTTTGGTGAGGTCCTTGACAACATATTTTCTCAATGCAACCAGTCTTCTGACTGCTTGACTGCTGGTACTAAGGATTTTGATTGTGGATCCATGCAAGATGAAATTTATAATATCCATTTTTCCTCCATCTGTCGTGACATTCGTTCACTGGTGAGGATTTTTGTTTTCTTGATGTTGAGATGTAATCCATGTCTTTGATCTTCTGCAGCATGTGTTTCAAGTCCTCTTCACTTTCAGCAAGCAGGGTTGTAGCATCTGTATAATGCAAGTTATTGTTGAGTCTTCCTCTTATCCCAATGCCACATTCCTCTTCATTGCAGAAAAAGAATTGATACCTTTGTTTGTAGAGTTGAAGAAGAGTACTGTTATATTTGTGGACTACCAAAAGAACAAGCAAGTTTATCTTGGAGAAAATGCAACCAGGGTGCTTCTTAGAGACAAGGATCCCAGAGACCATCTGACATACTCGGCCATGTGGTTAGGAAGGGCCAGCCCTGGCCAAGGACATCGTGCTTGGAGAGGGAGAAGAGGAAGACCCTCGGCAAGACTGACACAGGACTAGAACGGTGGGCTCAGGTGTATGAGAGCTGATGAGAATGGCACAGGAGAGGGCAAAGGTGCAGGGCTGTTGTTCACAGGGGTAACTACCTAGCAACAACAATTTTCACAGCCTCTCAGGCCAAAGTCGAAACAATGGCCTTTTCGCTCTTACCCAGCTGTCCTCAGGAGAGTCAGGATGATGATCCAAAATGCTTCATTGCGGGTAAAGATAATGTGGGCTCCATGTAGATGCAGCAGACCTGCTTGTTCTTCCACGGGAAGGCTGTGGTACCAATGTGCAAGAACACAATGATGTGCAAGGCCATCCGTGGCCCCCTGGACATCAACTCGGCCCTGGAGAAGCTGCTGCCCCCCACCTGGGGGAACGTGGGGTTTGTGTTCACCAAGAGGTCCTCACTGAGCTCAGGGACATTTTACTGTCCAACACTCTGTGTGAGGTTACCGTGCCGGCCCAGAACACTGGTCTGGGCCTTGAGAAGACCTCCTCCTTCCAGGCTTTGTGCATCACCACTAAGATCTCCAGAGGCACCACTGAAATCCTGGAGACAAGGTGGGAGCTAGTGAGGCCACCCTGCTAACATGCTGACCTCCCCCTTCTCCTTCGGGCTGATCATCCAGCATGTGTTGACAACAGTCCTGAAGTGCTTGACGTCACAGAGGGGACTCTGCCTACACGCCTCTTGGAGGGTGTCCACAATGTTGCCAGCGTATGTCTGACTGTGGCCTCGGTACCCCACTCGATCATCAGTGGGTACAAGCGGGTCCTGGCTTTGTCCGTGGAGACTGAGTACCCCTTCCCACTGGCTGCAAAGGTCAAGGCCTTCCTGGCTAATCCATCTGCATTTGTGACTGCTGCTCCTGTGGCTGCAGCCCCCGCCAAGGTGGAAGCAAAGGTAGAGTCAGAGGAGTCTGACGAGGATGCGGGATTTGGTCCCTCTGACTGATAACCAAAAAGCCACCAACTCTGCCAGCTTAAAAAAAAATCATCCTCCCCTTATTACCTTAGCCTAAGCAGAAGGAATTACAACGTGCCTTATCAGAAGTAAAGCCCCTTTGATGTTTTTTTATACCCTTTTGAGGTTGTTTGCACCATTTATAGCTGAGAGTTACTGTCTAACTGGACCCCCTTTGTCGATGCTTGTCTCAGTCTTACCTTGCAATCCACAGCTGAGACTGATTCCCCTTGAACCCTGCCATCTGTACTGAGAATGGCTCCATTTCAGTTGACACAGGATGACACCAAGCTATGTCCAGGACTAGGCCCATTCACCTGGAACTCTTTTTTTTTTTAAAAAAAAAATTTTATTAATTTTAATGAACAGTTACAGAGATTTTGGATTTTCATTCATTCATTGTTGCAGGTTTCTCCCTGCCCACCACTCCCCCCGCAGTTCGCTCCTCTCTTTGAAAAGTAAAAGAAAAATTCTTTCATTGCTATACAATCCGCCCCCCACCCCAACCGACCCACCACCCCAAGTACGCTCCACTATGCAACCTTAATTCTGGACTCTTGTGATACCCATTATACCCTATCATAATAACACTTTTAAACTGTTCTCTCCCTCATCTGTTTCAATGCACTATACATAATTTGTCCAGTTTTCTCAGTGTTACCCCAACCCTGATGTCAGTCAGTCCCATTCTACAACAGTGGCACCTTGCACTATTTGTCCTTTTTCACCTGGAACTCTTAACAGGGCCGGGCACACAGAGGAAGGAAGGCACTGAAATACCACTAGGCACCCAGCCTGCACTAGATGAGACAATGAACTATCACTAGGTCCAGAGCCAGGACAAGAAAAGATAACTGAGGAATTGCTCACATTTCAGTGTCTTGTGTCTCCACTAAATAAGTCCTCACAAACCCCAAAACACATTTGGCATCTGAGATAGATTTGGGATCTCATACATCTTACATTTGTTGTTGTGTACCATAGAGTCAGAACTAACCCATAGCTGACCTTCCTGCGAGTTTTCAGAGGCCTTAATTGCGTAGAAGACTGCCCATCCATAATTAAAATGCCTTCTATTTCTCCGCTCTAAGATTGTTTTCTGTCAGCAGAATTGTGCTTTCTGATCACGGAAACATGCACACTGTTCACTCAGGGCCAGAGACTAAACTGAGGTGCACTTACCTGTCTATATGTTGTCCACACTCCCTGGCATTGGGAAGACACAGTCTCCCACTCCTCCCGCACTGATTCAGGTGACTAGGAGGTGCTTGGCCATCCACACCCCTCCCTAATCCCCTGGGCGGGTCACCCCTACTCCTTCCTTCCAGCCCTGCAAACTTCTCTCTTCAGCTGCTTCTCTCTGTGAGCTCGTGGCCCCTGTGGGTGAGCCCACTTTACAGGTGCCATTGCTGGCAGGACACAAGAAAGGGGAATGTGGAAGGGCATGAGGCTGCCTGTGAGTCCTGCCCCTGTCCCTTTCCTAACCTCACATCTGATCCTGACATGAGGCCACAGCAGCCTCTCCTGGCTGCTAGTTCCCTCCCTGCCAATCTTGGCCACAGGTAGAGGGCACTGGGTGAAGGTGACTAGGAGAGGTTCAAGAAATTCCTCTTGCAGATGTGGCTGGCTGTTAAAAGGGCGACCCAGCTTAGACTTGGAGGCAGGGTCTCTTGGGAGGTAGAGACCACTCTGAGGTGTGCTAGCGGTGGCCAAGGCATCTGGGTGCATGCGGGGGTGGGGAGCCACAGGTGATGACCTTATGCATATAGTCTCCATGCCACACATCATTGGAGCGTCTTGCCCCCCTCATTCCACCAGCCTCAGAACTGGGGCTGCTCCAGCCCTTCAACTCAAGGGTGGCAGAGCAGTTGGGAAGTGGATGGCAAGCTTCATCGGCTGCAGAAGTGACTGGTCTGAGGCCAGAGCTTGCTCTGCCTGTTGTTGGCCCTGGCCTGTCTTGGGCACAATCATTACCCTTTTGTATCACTAGAGACCTGAGAAGAGGACAGTGCTGATCACCTTCATCATCCTCACTCCATGCTGACCAGCACAGCAAGCATCTTCATGGGAACTACCAGAATGTGGCCTTCTGTTCTCTTGGCAGAGAAGAATTTTCACGTGGGTGTTTGCAGACATGGTGAGCTGAGTCTTGGCACTGGATAAGTGCTCATAACATAGGATAACCTCACCTTTTCCAAATGTCACCCACCTTCGTTTTCCTGTTTGGGGACATAGTACCAGTGTCTAATTGTGTACGTGCCACTCACCCCATCAAAGAGGTGAGCATGGAAACTAGAGTAAGGGAGGCAGATTTGAGGGGTGGACACAGAGGAGAGGGGCACAAATTTGTATTCTTCATTCAACATTAGCTGGGGTTGTGTGAAGGAGA